TCCGGTCCGAATTTCAAAACAGAGGTACCATCCACCAGCCCTCAGCTGCTAACGTAACACTTTGGTCGGACAATAATATTCTAGTTGTTGTCACGCCTCACTTTCTATATATATGACCATATTCTTCTAGTCACTAGAATTTTTCTCATGGGATGCTTAAGTACTAAAGAAAGAGACCACTGTGTGTCAGAATTTGACTGACTGTACCACTATCAAAATTGTTTCTTTCTTTCAGCCTCCAATCCATCCAGGCCAGGTTAAGGGAAATGGAATAAGGGGGGAAAGAAAAGTAAGGCTATGGTATAAGAAGAACGATGGAGGTAGACAACCTCTAAATGAGATTCAAAATCTAGAAGTCAGAGAAGGTGTTAACACTAAGAGGAAACTGCATATTGTTGATGAGGAAATGCTGGATATGGAACCTACTGAGCAAAATGCTAAAAGGAACAAAGTAAGAGGTGAGATGGTCTTCAATGACCAGTTGCTAAGGGGGGAAGAGACCAGTCCCATCTTGGTCTCTCAACCAACAATGAGGGTCCTGGTGTGGAACTGTCAAGGTGCAGAGAGTCCATTGACAGTTTCCCATATGAAGGAGGAAAATAGACTCCTCCCCCCTAGTATCATATTTCTAAGTGAAACAAAAAACAGGAAAAGGTATATGGAAAAAATAAAAAATATTCTGAATTTCGAAAATAGTTTTGTAGTAGAGGCTATGAATAGAAGTGGTGGGATGACCCTTTTTTGGAATAATGATGTCAAGATTTCAGAAGTACAAGGCACAGCTTTTACTATTGAGGCTAAAGTGGAAGATAAAGAGAAAAAGGAAACCTGGTGGTTTATTGGAATTTATGCAAGCTGTGATAGTCAAATAAGGAAAGGGCAGTGGGAAGTCTTGAATAGAAGGAAAGTAGGATGGGATGAAAAATGGATTATCATGGGCGACTTCAATGGCATCACCTCAAATGATGAAAAATAGGGTGGAAGGAGGAGAGATAATAGAAGCTTCCAAGACTTTAGAAAGTTTATAAATGAGAATCAACTGATGGATGTTGGGTTTGTAGGGAAGCCGTAGACCTGGAGCAATAACTAGTATGGAAATGGTGAAGTAAAAGAGAGACTGGACAGAGGCCTATGCTCCACTGCATGGTCACAGTGTTATGAGGATGTTAAGTGTACACACATTGAATCGCATGCCTCTGATCACAGCATGTTGATACTAGAAACTGACAAGGGAAGGAAGAGATGGAAAAAAAGATTTCAGTTCGATAAAAGATGTCTCCAACATGATGGGATTGAGAAGGTGGTGAAGGAGGCTTGGAATGCCCATTGCGATGGAACTAGGTGGTTCAAGGTGAAACAGAAAATAAAGAATTGTAGAGTTGAACTACTTAAGTGGAGCAGCAGTAAGAAAGGGAACTTACTAGAAAGAATCAATTGGTGCAAAAATCAGATTGAGGAAATTAAGGCATCAGAGGCAGAAAACAAAAGGCAAAAGGTGCAGGACATGAAAGGACAGCTGAAATTGGCTTATGAGAATGAAGAGGCTTATTGGAATCAGAAGTCTAGAGTACGATGGCTAAAAGAGGGTGACAAAAACACTCAATTCTTCCATGCAACAGTCAAGGGAAGGAGGAGAAGAAATAGACTTCAGAAGTTGATAAAATCAAATGAAGAATGGACTGCAAATGATAAAGAGTTGGAAAAGGAAATAGCTAACTATTATGGAGAATTGTTTAAGAGTTCAGGGTCGAGGGAGCTAGAGGACATCTTAGAGGGGATTCCTGTCTCCATAACTGAGCAAATGAATAGTGACCTGACCAAAAAAGTAGAGGAAGAGGAAATCAAGGCTGCTTCTTCTCTATGAATCCTAATAAGGCTCCTGGAAGTGATGGCATGTCTCCACTCTTTTTTCAAAAATTCTAGAGCATTATTAAGCAGGACCTGGTAAGTGCAATTCAAGATTTCTTTCACAATAGTGTCATTCTTAAAGCCATAAATCACACAGTCATCTCTCTGATCCCTAAAGTCGACTGTCCTACTGAGATCAAACAGTTTAGACCTATAAGCCTGTGCCAAGTGGTCTATAAAGCCCTTGCTAAAATTCTTGTCAATAGACTAAAGCCTTTCTTGTCTAGATGTATTAGCAAAAATCAATCTGCATTTGTGCCAGGTAAGCAAATTATAGATAATGTCATCCTTTCTCATGAATTGATGCACTTCTTGAAAAACAAAAGACATGGTAGAGATGGTATGATGGCTGTGAAACTGGATATGTCAAAGGCCTATGACAGGGTGGAATAGGACTTCCTGAAAGCTATAATGGAAAGAATGGGGTTCTGCCACACGTGGATAAGGTGGATTACTGCCTGTATAAGTTCAGTGACTTACTCATTCAACATAAATGGTGAACAGAAGGAGTTCATAACCCCATCGAGAGGCATCAGGCAAGGTGATCCACTCTCTCCATACCTGTTTCTAATGTGCTCAGAAGGATTGTCTAACCTGCTACAGAAAGCTAAGGTGGGAAAGGAGCTAACAGGAATCAAAATCAGTAGAGGGGCACCAGCAATCACTCATCTGTTTTTTGCTGATGACTCTCTAGTATTTTGCAAAGCTAATAGGCAAGAAGCTGGGAAGCTAATGAAGATCCTCAAAGTGTATGAAAAGGCAACAGGTCAGCTAATCAACATGGACAAATCCTCAGTTTTCTTTAGTAAAAATACAACCTAAACAGTGAGGGAGGAAGTCTGTCATTCAATGGGGTCAATACAGCAGAAAGGACAAGGTCAATACCTGGGCTTACCTATGATCATAACAAGATCTAAGGAGCAGGTGTTTGGGTTCATAAAAAATTCTATTGATAAGAAGTTGCAGGGATGGAAAAACAAGCTACTAAGCCAGGCAGGGAAAGAAGTAATGCTAAAAGCTGTAGCTATGGCCATGCCAACTTTCACCATGTCGTGCTTCAGATTGTCTACCAAGCTGTGCAGAGACATTAGTGTTAAAATGGCAGATTACTGGTGGGGGGATACTGAAGGAAAGAAAAGGATGCATTGGATTGGCTGGAGGAAGCTGACAGAAAAGAGAAGTAGTGGAGGAATGGGCTTTAAGGACTTGCAATTATTCAATAGAGCTCTTCTGGTCAAACAAGTTTGGAAGTTATTAACACAGCCAAACTTATTAGTCAGTAGAGTTCTAAAGGAAAAATACTACTCCAGACAATCACTTTTCACCAGCAAGGTCCCCCAGAATGCCTCCTGGATATGGCAAAGTTTAGCTGCTGTAAGAAAATGAGTGCAAAATGGAGTCAAGAGGAAAATAGGGAATGGTAAAGGAACACGAATTTGGGATGACGATTGGATTCCAGAGAGCCCAAATAGGAAACCAACAACATGAAAGCCCTTGGGGTGTCAACTTCAGCATGTATCAGATCTCATCACCAATAACAGATGGAATGCAGTCCTGATATTCAGAATCTTTAATCAACAAGATGCCGAGAGAATTCTGAAAATACCTATAAGTCTAACAGGGAAAGAAGATAGCCATTTTTGGATGCACTCTCAGAATGGCCAATACACAGCTCAATCTGGGTATAAGGTGTGGATGAAGGAAAAGGGACTGGAGAGTGTAAGAAGGAGGGAAAGTGATGGACCAAGCTATGAAGGAAATATCAGAAGAGTCTGGAAAACTCTATGGCAGCAGAAGATGAGTCAGAAAATGAAAGTGTTTATATGGAAGTGCTTGCATGGGGGATTTCCCGTGAGAGGCGAAATATACAGAAGAACAAGACAAGGTGTCCCTCTGTGCACAGGGTGTGGAGAAAAGGAAGAAACAATCGAACATCTCCTGTTCCAATGCAATAGAGCAAAGGAAATATGGAAGTTATCGCCAGTACAATGGGATGGAGTACAACTAACATCAGATTGCTTCATCAAATGGTGGTCTGCAATCATAAAAGCCCAACAAGACAGAGGAGGGGAAGATCAGGTGAATCTAACTATAAACATCTTCTGGCAAATCTGGAAAGTCAGGAATGAGAGGGAGTTTAACCAAAAGAAAAGGGAACCTCATAAGATAATACATAAAGCCATGAAAGAATGGATGGAGTTTGATGAGGCCAACAAAGGGAAGGTGATAAGAAAGAACTCTCAGGGAACAGAAGTACAACAAAGTACTAGGCAATCGCAGAGTCAAAGAGAGATCCAAGCCAGCCTGATGATCAAGGTCCACACTCATCAAGACGCAAGACAAAAAATGGTGGGAATTGGAATCACAGCTACTGACTCTTCAGGACGTCTTCAAGCATGTTGGGCAATGAGGGAAAGAATGTCTGCAGAACCAATACAAGACCAAGCTGGTGCGGTGAGACTTGCACTACTGAATGCGATCAGCCAAGGATGGAGGAACATTAAAGTGGAGCTGGAAAATGGGGTGATGGTAGAGTGCATAAAAAACATTCGGACCAGCAACCACCTGATGGCTACTCTAATAGATGACATCCAGTACATAAGTAATCTGTTTCAAACATGTTCCTTCTCTTTTGTTAATTCAGGGTTTGTGGGAAGTATCAAGTTGAGCATGCATGCTCTAAACATCTTTGTAGATGAAGAATGGGTGAATCCCAATCTTAGGTGTTAGGCACCAATGTTTTTGTAGGACTTATGTCCTCTTGCTTGGACCTTTGTCCAAATACTGTAAATTCGATTATATCTATAAAGCTAACGTTTCGACAAAAAAAAAATTTCAGCCTCCAATCCTATCTCCATGAACTACACCATAAATAAAGACGGCCGTTTTCTTTTGTGTGCTTTTGCTCTACAATTGTTGGGATTAAGAGGGGATCATAGATGTGATGGCCTTTTCTTTTTCCGGTGATTTGATCTTAAAACTTGCAAAGATTGAGAAGCGATGACAGTTTGGGTAGATTAGATTAGACTCGTAAGGAGAGTTTTTTTTTTCCTTTTGCATTAAGGTGGCTCGACCGGTTGTTGAGAGTAGTAATGATGAGGGGGAGGGGGAGGGTGGTGGTGGTGGTGGTCAGAGAGCGGCCATGTATTCCACTCCGCTTCTTCTCTTCCTTAGCGCTGCTAGCAGGGCCGTCGTCACCGTCGCGACGCTCCTCAGGCGGCGGCTATTATGATGCGCCTACCACCAACTGCAATGCATCCTCAGCAGCAGCTGAAAATGCTAAAGTGATCGATAACTTCATTGACCACTGCTACCGAGGGGACCTCCCCAGGGCAATGAAAGCATTGGACACTATGCAACAGCGCAACATCTTTGCCCACTCCCTTGCTTACTCCCACCTCATCAGTTGCTGCGCGGCTCGCCGTGCTATCGAACATGGGAGAAGCATCCACCGTCACGTCTTCTCCCCGGGATATCGGCCCAAAACGTTTCTTCTCAACCATCTCCTTAACATGTACGTCAAATTCAGGCTGCTTCCCGAAGCTCAAGCCTTGTTCGACCAAATGCCTCGCAGAAATGTCATCTCCTGGACAACCATGATTTCCGCTTATGCTGCTGCATCCTCCCCGCCCCTCCAACGCAGGGCCTTGGACCTCTTGATTCTGATGCTCAGAGATGGGGTCTGCCCCAACATGTTTACTTTCTCTTCGGTTTTGAGGGCCTGCCATGAATTACAGCTTCTTACTCAGATTCACTGTAGCATTATTAAGGTTGGTCTGGAATCTGATGTCTACGTAAGAAGCGCTCTGATTGATGTTTATTCCAGGTGGGGTGAAATGAGTTCTGCCCTTTGCGTGTTTGGCGAGATGGTAACCCGTGACCAGGTCGTTTGGAATTCCATCATTGGGGGCTTCGCGCAGAATAGTGATGGTGATCCAGCACTACATCTTTATATAAGAATGAAGAGAGCTGGCTTTCAGGCTGATCAGTCGACACTGACTAGTGTTCTGAGAGCTTGCACTAGCTTAGCTCTCCTGGAATTAGGGAGACAACTTCATGTTCACGTGCTCAAGTATGATCAGGACTTGATCCTGAACAATGCACTCCTCGACATGTATTGCAAGTGTGGCAGTTTCAAGGACTCGGATTCTATTTTCAGTCGGATGGTGGATAAGGACGTGATTTCATGGAGCACCATGATCATGGGCTTGGCGCAGAATGGTTTTAGCAGGAGAGCTCTGGAATTATTCAAGGCAATGGCGGTCTCAAAGATCAAACCAAATCACATTACCATTTTGGGAGTTCTGTTTGCTTGTAGCCATGCCGGATTGGTAGATGATGGACGCTACTACTTCCGTTCCATGAAGAAGCTATATGGGATTGATCCAGGAAGAGAGCATTATGGTTGCATGGTTGATCTTCTTGGGAGAGCTGGGAGGCTTGACGAAGCCGTGGAACTGATTCACAAAATGGAATGTGAACCGGATGCTGTGACATGGAGAGCATTGCTCGGTGCTTGCAGAGTTCATCGTAACATGGACCTGGCTGCCTATGCTGCCAAACAAATAATTAAGCATGACCCAGATGATGCAGGAACTTATATATTACTGTCTAATATTTATGCGAATTCTCAGAGATGGGATGAGATAACAGAAGTTAGGAATGCTATGAGGCATAAAGGAGTCAAGAAAGAACCAGGATGTAGCTGGATTGAAGTAAATAAATGTGTGCACGCTTTCATATTGGGAGACAAATCCCACCCACAGATTATCGCTATTAGGAGGGAGTTGAAACAGATAATCCACAGGTTAAAAGAGATGGGTTATGTTCCGGATGCAAATTTTGTCTTGCAAGATCTCGAGGAGGAGCAGATGGAAGACTCGCTCCTCTACCACAGCGAAAAACTGGCTATGGCATTTGGAATTATGGCCTTGTCCAGCGGGAAGACCATTAGGATCAGGAAAAACCTGAGGATCTGCGGGGACTGCCATGATTTTGCAAAACTTTTGGCAAAAATGGAGAGTCGAAGCATCGTTATCAGAGATCCAATTCGCTACCATCATTTCGAGGATGGACATTGCTCTTGCGGGGATTATTGGTAGCTCAGTATGTGGAACAGCACTTTTGTATTTGCTGCTTGTATCTGCAATACGAAAATGTAAGAGACGTGGCCGCATGTCGTGGATCGACCAAACAATTATGTTGAAGATCACGACGGCTTTCAGTTTTTGCCAATTGCCATTTTAAAGTCATCAGGGCACATATCTTTTCAAGAACTAGAAGGCAGCGAAGAGATTAGCATCACTGACCTAATGAGTGAAGATCTCTACTTGTGCGTGGCTGCACTCTTGGAGCATGATATTAGCATTCCTGACCTCAAGGGTGCTCTCTAATTGACTGGCTTGTTGAAGTACACGTAAACCCCCTTATTGATGGTTGCCTCATGCTTCGTACTTCCCCATATGCCATTGGATATCAGCACGAGGAGAGGAAGTTTTCTTGTCATCCAAGCGGCAGATTGGAATGAACGCATGAGAAGAATCAGAGATGAATATGGTATTTTCGTGTCTGATTACTTTCGGCCTTTTCCTCAAACTTTTTATTATAGCTTTGAGTTTCTTCCACTTAAATTTCTCTATTTGTACAGGAGAAACTCAACTCCAAGAGGACAAGCTACCCGCAATTACAACTGCACGTGCTTTTACCTTAGGTAATTCGCCACATTGGTTTCCTAAAGTAATTAAACTGGGCAAATGTACATGTAGAAAACACATTGACTTGAGCTTCAGCAAGGCTGAAATCAGGAGTTCCACTTCGGCGATAGAAATGATTGAGAACAGGTCGTATAAAAAAATTGTTCCCTGCCCAGCTCCTCCCAGCCAAAAACATCAATAGGTCTTTTGTTGCCTGCTCGAATTTGTTCCCCAAGTCTTTATTGTTTCTGCATGTAAATGTACTCAAAATGCAATCCACCCAACGCCACCAAAAAACCAAAAGGTCGATCAGTCCTAAGCATTAATTTGCAGACCCCTAAGCTACTCTCAAGCTCGTGAAAACGCATCCATATTCTCCATTGAGTTACAAGCCCCTACCCGGCCGGCATATGAAACATTAAGAGGTAAACTTTAAAAGCCAAAAAATGCGAAAAAAGATTTTTCACCATTTTTTTCAGTACCAGAAGGGTATTATTTCTTGAGCCTCGATGAAACGCTTTGTGGCTCGGTATTTTTTTACTCGAACAACAGATATGTACATTCACTTGAAAGAGTATAGGCACACGTTAAGTACAGATCTCTACTTGGCGTACAATCTTTGATCTAATAAGACTCTCCAAAGATCAATGAAATAAAGACTCGCAATTATGGGAGAACGGAAGTTTTGAAAGAGAATAATGCAGAAGCAAACAGGAATCCCCTTGCACTGCTAAATCAAAATGCTCGCCTGCTTTTACCCTTTGCGACTAATGATCGCTCATGCTTAAATGTCCGCGCTTATCATATTCTGCAATTTGCAGCTACAAAACACGGAAAGAAAGAGCTAAGAACCCAAACAAAGATTACAGAAGGAGCCAAAGCATTACAATGCACCATGAACATAATGAATAAGAAAAAGTACAAAATCAGCAAGCTCTAATGTTAAAATATCAGGGAGGAGTAAAATGGAAATCCAGACCCCCAAAAAAAAACAAATAAAAAGAAGAAGAAACAAAAGGTATTCAAGCAGGCTAGAGAATTATCTTTAAGAGTAAACTGTGATGCCCGAAGAAAAATCATCATTAAGTTAGAAGTTTTATACTCACTGCAGTAAATAAACTGATTTAAATCAAGAGTCACTCTTCCTTGATTACTTGTATCAAATGAACTAAACAGGTTCCTGCAAAAATAAGACATTAACACCAGATTCAATTTTGTCAAATACTCCTAATAAAGAGAGAGAGAGAGAGAGAGAGAGAGAGGCTGTATCTACCAAAACTCTGGTCTTGGCAGCAAGCTACATTTGACCAAAAAAAATTAAAAATTGCAGCCCCATCATGATTCAGTTGACATATTAGGACCATTAACTCTAATATTCATGTCAGCTCATAAACACCACAGAACATATCAAAGAGAAAATAAAAGACATGTCGGTGTTGGGCCAGATGCCCAAAAATGCTGCCACTTGACATTTGACGTAAAGCTCCAGTCTACTACAAATTTTTTAGGTCCGATAATGAATGGATAGGTTTTGATGGTTTAGACAATCAAATAATCAGAAATAAGAAAGAAAAACAGCCTAGATCCGTAGTCTGATGGTCTCTAAAGCAGTTCATAAACAGATACAAATTTCTGGATCCAGCCCTCACAGCTTAAAGCAAGCAAGGGATTTACAAGCAGCTGACTGCATCAATGATAAATGATTTATGAGCACAACATTTTTTAATACCTTCAGCAAGGTACTTTTCTGACATTTTCATGAAGTTAATAACTCTAACTGGTCAATCAAAATACACCGTATAAGAAATTAAGATTCCACCTACCGCGCAGACTGTACAAATATACAGAGTGATATGAAGCCATCCAGTCTGAATCTTCCACTCCTCTTCTGATCAAAACTCTACAAATTATAATTGAAAATGAAAAAATTAGTCAGAGCACATAAAGCACAAGTAAACTCTAGGTAAAACTTAGTCAGAGCACATCAAGTGCAAGTTGGCTCTGAACACTCAGATCATTAAAACAGAAATCATGATAAGTGTTCAGAAACTGGAGATTTAGATAACAGGTCAAATCAGTTGAGTGTCAAAGTGTGAGAACATTAAGACACAAATCGGTTGAGTGTCAAATCATTGAAACACACACTGTTCAGATCATTAAAAAACACAAATCAGTTGAGCATCAGAGTACTTCAAAGATAAGAGGTTTGCTATATGCATATAAATCCTCACCATTCTAAGAGAAACTAGAGATTGTATATAAAATAGAAGGTAACATACATGAAGTTTGCTCAATCTCCATCTTAATTAGCCTTTTTTTTTTGGAGGGGAGGGTGCAGGTTTGATCACCTCATGAGTAAATAAAAGAATATCATCAGAACTCAAACATTTATCCAATTGTACTGTGAAACTTACACCTAACAATTATAGTAAACAGTACTATAAAAATTAATGCCTTACCTATTGGTGAATCTGCCTCCAACTTCTGTAACATGTTCAAAATCCTAACTTTGGATAAAATCTAGGCACTTAACAAGATAACAGTATTGTCATACCTCGCAGACAGTGTAGAATGCAGGAGAGTCAAGTGAGATTCCAATCTTCACCAACCCCTGAAAACATTGATCATGGATAGTGTACTCTTCAAATCGATGGCAGGGGGAAGAAAAGGAGTAGAAACACGTATTTGAAACTAAAAGCACTGCTTTCTCTAGAAGGGAACACAAGAAAAGGTCCTCCGCAAACTATTACCTTGTAGACATCGTCTGGAACAAGATATCCACGACCCCTGTAGGTAAACAGATAAAACATCATGATTAGCCCTTGGGTCAGAGCATTTAAGAGGAGGTACCTCAAACTGTGAAACTTAAACATTCATTTGACCCAGTAACTCGACCTGAATACGTGTTGTGCAAGATGTCAACATGACCTTATATCTTAGGCAGCAAAACAAATATGCTCCCATTGTTAGATGTTCTACATAGAATAACACATGCAAGGATATGACCTATCAGCACTGCATCAAATGAGGCTACTTTTGCCAACATCTAATGATCAATCCTCATATTAAAACAACAACAACTTGCCGAAAGATCAGTTAGTTTCGAACTGACAAACTTTTTAGCTCTCATCAAGAAAATTTTTAGAAGAAAATGTTAAAAAGAGATTCATTTGACAGTTCTGATCAACTCCCAGCAACAATATATTATTTAGCCAAGCAAACATTCCTCAAAAGAAAGCCTTTCAGAAGATAGCATACATGTTCAAATTTTACACCATCCAAAGTTCAAAGGTAGCACAGAAAAAAATTACAAAGCAGCATGCAAGGAAAGGAATAATAGCCAAGAATGAAGGAAGATAAATTACAGATCTTCAAGGAAGCCATTGGAAACCCAAAAAAATCAAAAGAAAATTTCAGTTAACAGTTAGCAATAACAAAATAAAGCTAGAACTAGGAATAGACAATCTTTTCAAATGCAAAATCACCTCTCCAAGTCTGCAAAGGCTTGTTGAACCTACAATGTAAATCACAGAGTATAAATTTACAAGACTGAATTCTACTTTACACATTAACCCAACAAATTAACACTAGCAAAAATAAAAACTTCAAGGGAAGAAATCAAGAGCCCGTAAACATTTGAACTAGTACAGCTGCCCCACAAAATCTGTTCCGCGTGACCTTGAGATTGAAACTACAATTTGAAAAGGAACATGATTGGGGAAAGAAATTACAGGCCGGTGTGCGGCTTCATTACATCGAATAGTTGTGGCTGTCAAGAGATCATCCTTTTCCAGGAGCTTCTGGTTATAGTTTTTTTTTTCCTTTAATTTCGACTTATCAGGCATAGGAACGTTAACAAACTTAAACAAATTAATTTTGACAACTTCTTCACTTTGACAGGGCATAAGAAAGAGAAGAAACTAACCTTCAAAAGAAACTTGTTGAGTTCAACAAATTCTGAGGAATCAAAAAAGAAAGATAAAACAGATGAGAAATTGTTAGTCTGAGTTGCAGAGTGAAGCACTAGTCCAAAAATCAAGTCTTGAGAGAAGAGAAATTCACTCAAATATGGCACAGGACCGAAAGGGAAAAAAAAACATTCAGATTGTAAAAGGAAAAAAAACAGAAAAAGAGAGAATCAAAACAAGAACAGGAAACAGATGCATAAGAAGCGAACAAAGGGGTGATTGCTTGCATAAAAAATAACGGATGAAAATATAGTGAAAGAAAAGCGAGAAGATATAAACAAGCTTTAGGTTTGTCCTAAGTAGTAGTTGAGATACAACTTACAAGGGGGGGTGAACTGCTTCCATTAATACAGTGATTTCCTTTTTTGTTCTTTTTTTGGTCTTTGATCATCTAAACAAATCCAAAGAAAGACAGAATGGTACCTGGGAAACTCATAGTTCCATTTCTGTCAAAATCGTACATCCTGAAGTGAACCAAAAAAGTAAAGTTGAGAAGCAAATAAAGAATGACCATAATCCATTTGCAAATAGAGGAGCAAAAGTTATATAACAGGATACTAGTGTATTTACTTATCAAAGCAATATATGAGTGAAAGTAGTATTACAGGAGTAGTCAAGAGTCGAAAAGTCCAACCTGATCATCTGTTGGACAACAGAGAGAGGAAATTGTAGGTTACCAATACCAAATGCGGTCTGAAAAATCAATCGAAATATCCCCCAGACAAAAGTTAGCAAAAAACAATCTGAATCCCAAACTCACTGTTCAATTAACTTAGTAAAATGTTAATTCAGCAGTTCAGATAAGCTAGGTATAAGTAGAATTCAAAGTTGAAACAAGGAAGCAGAAGGGGTTAGGAGTTAGAGGAGGATACAGGAACCTGGAGCTGTGTTGCAGTGATGCCGCCGGTTTTGTCGGAATCAACTCGGTCGTACCACTCTCTTAGCACCGCCGTGTTTTCCATCGGAAGCCTCCGATGACTGATGATGAGTCCACTGACTCCTGGCACAGCCCCAACCGCTGTTTTCGTTTTCCGGGTGACAAAAAAACAGACATTCATTCACTAGTCTACCTACTTAGTCATAACAATCACAAGAGGAATACCTTGTTTGGAAAGTAATTTTTTGTTTGGACAGGGTATTATTTGAAATATTATTTAAAATAATTATTTAAAATATTATTTAAAATACTTTGTAGCACTTTTTGTGATGTGATATATGTGAGATAAAAAGGTGGTTGGAAATATAAAAAAGTGGATTGAAAAATGTGTTTATGATACAAGCGAAATATTATTTGGGATAAATTTTGTATCCAAACACTTAATTTTTCAACCAAAAAGGGTTACGTTTTCAATAAATATATTTTTTTAATCATTTTTTTAATACAAACTGCTACCGTATATATTTATACAAAAATTCTAAAAAATTGCAATATAAACTATCCCATCGATCCCTAAATTATTCCCTTTTGGCCCCTCAACAATATATTATCACAAATAATCCTCTCGACAAAAAATGTATTACCTTTAAGAATTTCCTTCAAATTTAGCACAAGACTAGGGTAAACGCACATAGAAAGCCCTTAAACTATTTCAATTATCAAATTTTGGCTCCTAATCTAAATTCTATCTATAGTGGTCCTGAACAATTAAATCGTATACTTTCAGCCATTTCGGCCATTTTAGTCATAAAGTGCATTTGGAAGCTAACCATTTAATATAACTATCAAAACCGGAACAAAAAAGGTTAAAGACGAAAAATAGACTTCATTATTCAGCATTGTAAAAAGCTGAATCTAAGTATGGTAAAAGCTGAGATTTATTCCTCTCATTAATCCTTTTGATTATATTAAGCAGTTGGGACTGCACTTATGACTAAAAAGGCTGGAAAGGTTGAAAGTATAACTCCAAGACAATTTAAATTAAGGGCCAAAATTTGATAACAAGCGTAGTTTAAGCGCTCCTTAGATACTTCACTATTAAGAAATGCTTGTATTCGGTCAATTTTACTCGTCATTCCATCAGCATTAATGGCCTAAATCTGATGAAAGTTCTTAAATATTGACACCATTTTTTTTTTTGAAGGGTTTATTTGTGGTAACATATTATTGAGGGATCAAAAGGGCGTACTGAAAATAGTTTAGGAACCAGAGGGTTTCCTCTAATCACAAATCACGACTAACAAATCACAAATTTGTGATTTGCTTTACTCCCCCTTGTTTGTTTGAACTTTTACTATGTCTCTCCCTAGATATATATATTTTTTAAAGAAGTGTTCTTTTTCTTAACTACTTTAACTTTTTTTTCCTTCTTGTATATTTGGTAGGACGAAAGTCTCAGAATTTCTTTTACACTTTTCTACATTTTTTTGTGTTTTATAGAATTTATAGAATTTTTAAAAACAAATGATTAGTTAGATAGGAAAATTTTATTAATTCCTACAAACTATCACTGACACTCCATTTTCTTTCAAAATTTTTGTCTTGGTTACCAAATGTTTAACTGGAGTATTATTAAAGAATAAATCTTATATGAACTGTCAGTGTATACACAATTAAGACTGAATAAATGACACATAAGTTAAATTTGAATTTCAAATTCAAATTCGAATTAGTTGTCATTAGGGATGGCAATGGAGCGGGGGTTCCTTCCCCCGTCCCCCACCCCGTTGTCCAATAACTCCCCTCGTCCCCCACCCCCCGCCCCGCCCCCCGTCTCGTTTCCCCCGCGATCTCTCGCGAGAAAAGAAATCAACTTATCATAAAATATTCATTTACAATAATTCATTGAATTTTTTATTAGGTTACACTTGATTGCCCCTCTATGTATATCTGACTTTTCAGTTACCAGCCCATCTCCTGACCAAAATATATCATTTGGAGTTATTTCAGCATTATACATATATCCATGGCTATTTTTTTTATATAATACTAAAATCTTAAACCATTTAATTGCTGTAAAACGAGTATTAGTACATAAGATGTCAGAGATTCATATCCAAAACCACAGCATAGCTTTACAACGACATAGAGCTTTTCCCATTAAGTAATAGCATTCACAGGTCTCCTGAACTAATTAGCTAAAGATGACCCCTACCATAATAAGTTATATCCATGGCTATTTAAAAGGATTGAACAACTCAGAAATTTATGCACACAAAAGCCTAGTACATGAAGCAAAAAAAAATCAGAAGCAAGCTTATACGAAAAGCAAAACTCTCCTCGTATGTCCAAGCATTTTCTAGAATTAACAGGAGAGAGGAAGAATTCTCAAACACTAATAAAAAATACCTTGAATAGTTAGGAGTTTTGTTACTTTTGTGTATTTATATATATATATATATATATATTTTTTTTTTTATGCGGGGAACGGGGCAGGAGATGGGGCGGGTGTATGTTGCCCCATCCCTCGCCCCATTTTTAAGGCGGGGATAAATATTTTGCCCCCGTCCCCGCCCCGCCCCATTTGTACCTCCGCGGAACGGGTGCCCGTCCCCATTGCCATCTCTAGTTGTCATGCGTCTAATACTAATAATATACACTTTCAATATATTTAAGATTAATTCACTCTTACAATGGTCACAATACAATTTTTTTAAATCTCGTACTATACATTCTACTTTGTTTGTTTGGAGTTTTTTTTGTTTGGGGGGGGGGGGGGGGGATGCATAGTGTAAATTTATTATGCAATGACTTGATAAAAAACGATTCTTGGAAATTAGGCTACGAGTCATCATATGTAGTAACACACACCCCTACCCCCCCCCCCCCCTGTTTTCTCTCTTGATAAAGCGCTCCTTCCCTAGTATTTATAAGCTGTACATGCAAACCTACGTCCAAATGCGACGTCCGTTCAATTTGGTCGTTTTTCAAAGTCTTACACGGTGAACTTACTGCAACTTTCGACGCATACCCTGAGAATTCAACACTAGTCCTAAGTCCCAACTACCTGAACTGGCTACTGGTACGTTGCATATCAGCTGCCACTCGTACAAGGATTTAATGCTCCTGGAAACAAATAAAAAGGGAAAGACATCTAATTTACATGCTACAACCCTCAAGAATAATAATGTTATAAACATTGCAGTACCGACATCCAATTTAACTAGTAAAAGAACAAAGAAAAAACTTCAGACTTGCCAATTTCGCAAGTTTTATTAACTTCTTGCTGAACCAGGTTCCCCAGTCACCATAGACTAAGATGAAAAAGCACACTACTAATTGTTTTATTCTGCCGAACGTAGTTCTCCTGTCAGCAGTGCAAATTTCCGATGTCTTGAAAGAACAGACTTGACTTTGATTGCCTGTATCCTTGATGCTAAGTCCTGCTCATCAGCTCCTGTCTTCACTTGCTTAGCTGCTTTGAGTATTGTCTGCAGAATCTGAAGAGGATCACCATGGCTGACAATCAACACCGCGCACCTGCAGTCAGAGAAGAGTGGCATTTTGCATCAGCCTCCTGAAGCCTATTCCTTAAGGTGACGTTTACAAGGCTAAGCAGATTCAGGAACGAGTTATGTGTTAATTAGAAATATGGAACTTCACATACAAGGTGATGGAATAAGAGGCTGTCGTTATTTTTATTAGATGATAGCACTTGGTATCTTTAATGATTGCAAAAATGTTGGCATAGAGCCTCAAAGGCACTAGTAGCAATTAGGTGACATGCAGTTCAGCCCCGTAGCAGAACACCCTTTCTCCAGGCTATCATTTAAGTAAAAGTTTGGAATGCATAATTTATAAATCTACTTTATGCAGTACAGCATTATTAGTGCCCTATTTGCTCAAGGCATCAGGCACTTATAATAACAAAGCCATCTCTTCATTTTTTTACCGCCCTATTCTGAACTTAGGGAGGCATGACAAGATTTGGCCACTCACAATGCTGTTAAGACTTTTTACCCTATTCATATATTTTAGTACTAGAATCAAGGAATAACAAAACACATTTAAATACATCAGTAGCAATATCTGCTGGAAACAGTATATGCTGCATTACCAATGGTAAAGTAAAGAGCAGTGTCTTACCCTTCAAAATCTGACTCCATGCTAACCAAAGCCTCTGTGAGTCTAGTAACAACATCTGCAACACTTTCTCCACCTTCAGGCGGCAGAAATGGATCTTTCTCATCCAGAGCCCATATCTCCAGGTACTGCCAGTAAAAGAAATGGAAAAAAATAAATTCAAGCATGAGCTCAGATTACTGTCCACACAACGAATGATTCATCAGCAGTTAGAGACTGAGAGGATCGAAATGATTCAGCATCCGCTGCTCCAACTTCTCAAACTTGTTGCTTACTTTATCATGTGATGCAAGTTCGTAAAAGGGTCCAAAGTAACGTTCACGAAGATCACCAATAACCTGTACAGTTAAAAAATATTTTCAAAACCAAAAGAACAAAACAAAAATGAAAAAGAAAAATTCAAGCACAGACTCACATGCACTTGAACGTTTTACTGGTCCAAAAAGGGATCATATAGGTATGTCTGGCTTGAGATTGGCATTGTTGAAGATATAGAGGATTCGTAATAGAATAAGATAAAGGAGGTCTCAACCTCTGTACTAATGGCTTCTTTGTTTCCCGTCTTTCATTCTCTTAAACTGCGATGACTCCAGGTTTTGTTAAGTTGCAAATTACTTTAACATGCCCTTGTCCCTCTTTTTGCTCCTATTTGTGGTTTAGTTTAAGCTGAAGGAGTGCTGTTTCCTAATTAGCACCTTCGGAGTTGCCTCTGTAGGAAAAGATACTCTTCAAGTAATTATGCAACTCTTTCAAGAATCACAATTTGCAAGCAGGTTCGAAGAGAATAAAAAATAAAAATAAAGGAAGAAGAAGCTATCAGATGTTGGGAGTAGGCTCCAAGTGTGATCTAATGGCAACTAGTTTGTTGTTTCACTTTCCCCTTTTATTGTCTTCACCTTCTCGTCATGACCTGTGATCTTAGCATTTTAAGCTAGTATAGAACTACTTTTGTGGCTTGAGAATTGAGATCCAT